TAAACTTCCAAACTCTGGGGCATATTCAGTCCTTGGCAGTTCCTGGTGAATCTTTAAACTGTGCTATATAGACACAGACTGTTGTTCTCTTAAGCAACTATTTTGCATTCAATATACAAGAGAAGAGCTAAGAAAAGAGGAGACTAAGGGAGGATATAATAGAGGTCTATAAAATCTTGACTGGTGTGGAAAAAGTGAATACGAAAAAGTTATTTACTTGTTTCCAAAACATAAGAACTAAGAGTCACCAAATGAAAATAATAGGCTACAGGTTTAAAACAAACCAAAGTTTTTCTTCACTCAGCGCACAGTCAACCTGTGGAACTCCTTGCCAGAGGATGTGGTGAAGACCAGGACTTTAACAGGGTTCAAAAAAGAACTAGATAAATTCATGGAGGTTAGGTCCATCAATGGCTATTAGCAAGGATGGATAGGAATGGTGTCCCTAGCCTCTGTTGGTCAGAGGCTGGAAATGGATGGCAGGAGAGGGATCATTTGATGATTTCCTGTTTTGTTCACACCCTCTGGGGCATCTGGCATGGGCCACTATCAGAAAATAAGATACTGGGCTAGATGGACCTTTGGACTGACCCAATCTGGCCGTTCTGATGTTCTAAAGTTCTTAAGAAACAGCTCTAATATTGTGCTAGGAAGGCATTCGGGGCAGCACACCCAGACCCAGCGCACTGTTCTTCAATGATGAGAGCAACTTTATGCCGCGGCGTGAGTCAGCATCTTGAAAAACACTGTTTACTAGGCAGAAAGAGTTCCTGGTACAGCTCCCAGCTCCTCCAGGAAAGGAACACAAGCCAGGACATTTCTTGAATTCCATCTTCAAACGCTAAATTCAGAAAGCAACCTGGGAGGGAAGTTCACAAGCTTTATAAACACTAATCCCGCCCTCTCAGGTGGCAGTAGCAGTGGGCAGGGAATGGAGACAGGCTGTTTGCAATTGTGCTCAAACGCACTGACTGCAGGTTCAATAGCCCAGTCAGTTTAAGTCAGTAATTACTGTCCACAGTCAATGAGCATCGACAGCATATCCCAATGCTTCCTCATGGCAAAGCGATACAGAAAATTCACTTGCTGGACTGGACATGCAAAATAAGGACATTCTGATGATACAGGGGAAAGCCAACAAATTACTTCCCGGACTCTGGAATGTATGTTCTAAGCCACACCTGCAGGTTTGCACATAAATCCCACTTCCTAACCTCCAACTTGCGGCTTTGAAATTGTGACCTTCACACAGAAGTTAGCAGGTTTGTTTAACCATCCACCTTATTGCTAGGGCTACCGCTATCAACGTCACTCAGGTATCGTCCTGTTCACACAGAGCTGTGCCGAGAAATGTGCTGACAGGGAACACCACACAGGGCACTGAGAAGCCAGGTTCTTGAGCTCTACTGTTGGCCATGCCGTGAAGTTTCTGTGGGGCCCTGTGCAAGTCACTCACCTCTCTGTGCTGAGGAATTTGGAAACAACAAAACAAAATGGCTCTGCTTCGGCTATAAGAAAAAACAGCTCGTATGATGTGGGATGCCAGGAAGTCTCCACTGAGGTTCCTGAATTAGCCTACTCCCCAAGATGGCGAATTACCCTTATAGAGTAACATAAGATGGCCAAACTGAGTCAGAACTGTGGCCTCAGTACAGATCCTCACCGCTTACCACGCTCCACTGTGAAAGCTGACTATTTAGCCCTACTCTTTGTTTCCTGTCTTTCAACCAGCCACTGATCCATGAGAGGACCTTCCCTCTTATCTCATGACTACTTACACTATGTAAGAACCTTTGATGATCGACCTTGTCATAAGAACATAACAATGGCCATACTGAGTCAGACCAAAGGTCCACCCAGCCCAGTGTCCTGTCTGCTGACAGTGGTCAATACCAGTTGCCCCAGAAGGAATGAACAGAACAGGTAATCAATCATCAAGTGATCCCTCTCCTGTCACCCATTCCCAGCCTTTGACAAACAGGGGCTAGGGGCATCATTCCTACCCATCCTAGATAATAAGCATTGATGGACCTATCTTCCATGAATGTATATATTTCTTTTTTGAACCCCGTTAAAGTCCTGGTCTTCACAACATCCTCTGGCAAGGAGTTCCACAGGTTGACTGTGCATTGAATGAAGAAATAAAGGCTTTCTGAAAATCCAATTCTCAAAGATTCATTGGATCACCCTTCTCAACATGTATGTTGACCCACTTTAAAAAACCAACAGTCTGGTGAGGCATGATTTTCCTTTACAAAAGCTATGTTGACCAGTGTTCCCATCTATTTTTTCTATCCATGTGTGGAATAAACTGTTATGTGCACTGAGGCATATGTGGATTTGCCCCACCAGTAGAAACACATGCTGTTAGCTGTGGGCGCTCTGTTTATCAGCTGGGGCGGCATTTGAATCTCTACTGGGTGACTTCCCAAGTGCTCATCTTACAGGGAGCTCTGACGTTGACTCTTCCCCAACATACTGGGTACGTCTAGACTGGCAAGATTTTGCGCAAAAGCAGTTGCTTTTGCGCAAAAACTTGCCAGCTGTCTACACTGGCTGCTTGAATTTGCGCAAGAGCACTGACTTTGTAATGTACAAAATCAGTGCTTCTTGCACAAATACTTTCATGCTCCCGCTCAGGGATAAGCCCTCTTGCGTAAGAATATTTGCACAAGAGGGCAGTGTAGACAGGCACCTTCATTTTTTGCACAAGAAAGCCCGATGGCCTAAATAGACATCGGAGCTTTCTTGCGCAAAAGCGCTTTTTGCGCAAAGCATCCTTGACAATCTAGACGCTCTTTTGCGGAAATACTTTTAATGGAAAAACTTTTCTGGTAAAAGTATTTCCTCATAATCTTGCCAGTCTAGACGTAGCCAGAGTGTTCATTTAAGGCTATGTCTAGACTACGGCGAAGATTTGAAAGAGGATATGCAAATTCCCACTTAGCCTGATTTGGGGTGTCATAGGCCACCTCCCCCTTCTGAGTGGGATAGGAGTCCTGTAATGCCCCCTAATGACCTAGTCAAAGGGAAATTCAGCACACCCCACCGTTGTAAATGGATTTTTCATTTGTTATTTTGAGCTTGCTTTGAAACCAAAAGTCCTACTCCCATAGAAAGGGTTACAAAGAGATGGAAAGAAGGTCAGAGGTCTATGCCCAGAAAAAAAGGCTAACAAGCTATATCCATCGACAATTCACAGCTTTTAGAAGTCACATACAGTACAGCTCTTTGGCTCAGCTATGAAAAATGACCTCTGAGGTTGGATCTTTGCAGGATGGAAACAAACCTCTCTGACTTGTTCAATGCCTTTCTTTCCCCCTCCTAATTAGCCCCAATTGAACCTGCATCATTTTTTGCTGCCCATCAGCTATCATTTCGAACAGTTTCTCTTGCAGCAAAGGAGACTGATTAAGTACTGAAAGTTGCTTGATTACACCAGTCTATTTTTACCAGAATGTTAGCGATACCCCAATAGTCTTTACTGTGGTTGTGCAGGCATGTGATCCACAGCGCACATGGAAAACCACAAAAATGCTCTGATTTTTCTACAATTCCCCAAAGCAGATCTGCTCAACCCAGAGCTCAAGACCTCTCTGATACAGAACACTTTGAACTTCCATTTGCATCAAGGCAAACATGAGTTTCTGATTAACTAAACATTTTGGGGGAATAAAACTGACTTAATTGAGTCAAAATGTTGCAGAATGCTGCACGACACTGGAGGAAGAACTATCCGCCTGTGTTCATTGTCCTGAGATGGCATCACTGAAGAGTTATACTTACATCACTTGAGTTATAACAGAGCTGGGTGGTAGCCATTTGAAATGTTCTGGTATATTAAAATGTTTAATACAGACATATTCAAAGCCTCTTTATAGTTCTTGTTTTTAAAAATCACTAAAATAATGCTAAACTCAGCCAGCACATTTCCTCTTATGGGAGAAACACAAGGCCAAAGTTTCAAATCCATAAGACGTCTCAAGTTTGAAACAAACTCATGTTGTGAAACTATTTATTAGAGTTTGGAGTCTGAGTTGCCTTTGTGACCCACCAATGCCGTACACCAGACTCCTGCAGATTAAAAACCGCAAGTCAAAATTCTTGTCTCTTTTCATCTGAACAGCAACACCGCACGGCACTGGCAGCCCAGAACAGTCAAGTGCTCGAAGAGAGCAACACAGCAGCAATAACATGGACAACATCAGTGTGGGCTTATCAAAGCAGATGTGAAAGGACCGCCTCTACAGCTAACAAAATCAGGTCCAATCTCCCACGTTCATTTAGTCCTTGGTCTGCCCATTGAGACATGCCGATCAGATGCTACATGCTAGCAATTGCAATCATGGTTTTGTTATGGTGATGGGGACAATTATATGCAATGAGACAGAGTGAAGCTTCCAGGATATGACATGTACGGCCATCCACTGTCAGACAGCAATCACTTTCGGTCATTATAGGCAACATTGGATATAAGCAACTAGTGAAAGTGACCAGTGTTCCTTGTAAACTGTGATTTTGAGCAGCCACCCAGGAGAGATTCAGGTATCACACAGCTGATTAGTAGAGTGCTCACAGCCACCCACAGCTGGCAGCGTGTGTTTTCATTGGTGGTGCACATTCACACGTGCCTTGGTGCATATAACAACATTTATTCTGCGCCTGGATGGAAAAAATAGTGGGAACATTGCAAACAACTAAATGGCAAGTCCTCCTTGACAAAAAGCCTTTTAAAAGACAGCCTTTGGACAAACTGCTACCACGTCTTTGCCATGACTTTTCCGTGGCACTGGACCCAAATATGGTGTGATGGCGGGTTGTGAAGCGCCGTGACACCATACTGCAAAAGCCAACTCAAAATATTTGAGGAAAAGTCAGGAAGAGAAGCCAAAACT